ACATTATTGTGTGAACTTGAGAGATGACAGTCATCTAGGTGAAAAGGAGACAAGTGAGAACAAAACAAAACACAAAATGAAAATGAAATTCTTGCTGTGACAGAAAACATGACAACAAAAGAAAAGGAGAGAGTCTTGTTGAAACTACACAGACAATTTGGACATGCTTCAGCTGATAGACTGCAAAAATTACTGGCCTGCTCAGGTAATCATGATGATGAAAGCAACACAATCCTCAAGAACATTGTTAAAAACTGTGATACATGTAGCAGATACAGCAAGCCAAAACATAAGCCTGTAGTGGGTTTGCCTATGGCATCAGCCTACAATGAGACTGTAGCTGTGGACTTACATGAGCTTGCGCCGGGAGTATGGTATTTGCATGCTATTGACCACTTCACACGCTTCAGTACAGGGAGTATTGTCACCACAAAGAACCCAAAAGAGATAGTCAAGCACTTTATTCACTGCTGGATAAGTGTTCATGGTCCTCCATGCAGACTGTTTAGTGATAATGGAGGTGAATTTAACAATGACGAAATGAAGGACATGGCTGAAAAGTTTAACATTGAAGTTAAAACAACTGCAGCATATAATGGCCTTTTAGAAAGGCACAATCAGACCCTCACTGAAATTTTGCTGAAAGTGAAGAGGAAAGGCATAATCAGACCCTCACTGAAATTTTGCTGAAAGTGAAGAGGGACAACAACTGTGACTGGAAGACAGCCCTAGATTGGGCACTAATGGCAAAGAACTCTCTGCACAATGTCCATGGTTTTAGTCCCTACCAGTTAGTGTTTGGGCAGAACCCAAATCTACCCTCTGTCCTCACTGATAAGCCCCCAGCTCTGGAAACAAGTAAAAGTACTTGGATAGCTAAGCAAATCACAACACTACATGCAATGAGAAAAGCATTCACAGAAGCCGAATGCTCAGAGAGAATCAGAAGAGCCCTTCGGAAGCAACTGCGGCCCATTCATGACAAATATGAAACGGGGGACAAAGTGTATTATAAGCGAGTAGATTGTAATGAGTGGAAAGGTCCAGGTGTGGTCATAGGCCAAGATAGTGGGGTGGTATTTGTCAGGCATGGCGGAACCTATGTTCGGTATTTGTCAGGCATGGCGGACTATGTTCGGGTGCATCAGTCTAGACTAAGAAAGGTGGATGACCCACAAACAAAACTGTAGAAGACAGAAAGGGAACAAATGAAAACATATGAAAATCCCACAGTAACACCAGCAGCAGATCTCAGTGACAATGAAAGTGAAAATGAGGAAGTGGCACCAGCAAACGATGAACCTCTTAATGCTGAAGATGACAGTGAACCTCCTGCATCAGTGCTGCCAGGAGGGGATAATCTTGATCAATCCCAGACGACACAAACCTACTCATCCATGAGCTGTGAAGGCCTAAGACTAAAAATTGGCCAAATGGTGAAATACACAGACAATCAAAGTGGACAAACCCACACTGGAAAAATCCTCAGCCGAGCAGGAAAGGCTACTGGAAAGCACAAGAACTGGTATAATTTGCAGTACAGTGAGCCTGAGGAAATTGCTGGCACAACTGGATCAGTTGATCTAGGACAAATGGACAGTGTTCAGGCGATTCCATCCGAACATGCTAAGTTGAGCACTGAGAGCACTGACGATGATATACTGATAGTACATGATGATCTCTTCATGCCTGCAAAAAATACAGAACTCATAGAACTCATAAGAAATAACGTCTTTGAAGAAGTGAAAGATGAAGGGCAGAAGTGCATCTCCACGAGATGGGTGTGC